CACAGCGGCCGCCATGTTCTTGATGATGGGCGTCTTCAGCTGAGGGATGAGGCTGATCTTCATCAGTCTGCTGCTCGAGTACTTGTTCTTTATAGCCTGCAGAGGAACAGAGGGGTTCATTTCTGCTCAAAGTCACAAAAGGTTCCCGGGTCTTCGGTCATAACTCACCTGGAACTTCGTCTTCCCGTCGTTTACCAGCACGACATTCTTGGCGATGTGCTGCATGATCGGCTTCAGGTGGGCCTCGTCGTAAGTCGAGTAGTGCTGCTGTGTTTGAGACTGACAGGACAGAGGAGAGTTAAACTCTGCTCGAGGAGCTGTAACGAGGCAGATTCTCTTTAAACCAGCCGGTTGAATCCGGTCAAACTCACCCACGGCAGCCCGTCGAGCAGCAGCTGGGAGAGACAGAGGGAGGCAGCGGCGATCTCAGAGGGCCGGTAGTGAACCATGTCGTAGTCGATGAGGGTCAACTCCATCAGGTACTTGGCCAGAGTGTGTCTCTCTACATCAGACTGAGGACAACATCCAACCTGATGAGCTCAACATTTATCACAACACTGTTGGTTAATAGAATCTTGATCAGCCTCACTCATCCCTACATGAAGTCAAAAACTCACACTAGCCACTTTTGAAGCCCGTCTGAGGAAGTGTAGCGGAAGAGGACGTCCGAGCTCAAAGTTGAGCGTCCTCAGAACCACCTGCTCCATCTCCAGAATCTGAGACTTGGAGAACGCGTTGTCTGTGATGTAGGCGAAGTCTCCGACCTCCGGCGCGTACATCTCCTCGTACTTACAGGCCACCAGCATGGCCGTCACACCGACGAGCTGCAGCTTCCTGCGAGAGACCGGCTGGACCTGCAGCACAGAGGACGGGTTTAAACTCAGCCCACAGACGCAGAACACGAGCTCTGAGAGACGGTTCCTACCTGGAGGAAACGATCCAGGACGGCAACTGTGAGGTACAGAGTCTCCTGCAGCAGCTGGAACCTGGAGTGAACCTGGACCAGCCAGTCGATCAGAAGAGCTCGCATGCGCTCGGTGATTTCATAACCCTGCATGTAGTTGGCTCGTACGGCCTGCTGCACCTGTGGAGACAGAGCGATGAGTAGCAGACAGTGCAGGGAGAGAGCAGACAGTCCCACTGACCAGGGAGCAACTACCTCCAGGACGTGGAGGTAACTGTAGATATCCTTCACATATTGCGAGCAGAGCTGCGGCAGGTCTGCGTCCTGCTCGTCCACGTCCTCCACGGTGAGCAGCGCCTCAGAGAAAGCCTGGCACAGTTCCTCTTCCTCCTTCATGGACACGTCAGCCGACTCCTCTGAAACCGGGGGGAGAGGATCTGCAGGTGCTTGAACCCGGACTACTGGACGCAGCAGCTGGACCGCAGCGGGTGCAGCTTTTAGGGCACAGGATGGTTTGGCCGACGCTTTGGCTCGTCCCGTCCTCTGAGGGAACAGAGTTTCATTCAGAAATAAGGTTTTAAAAGAGTTCTGGGCTGTAAAGCTGGTTAGAGTTGAGAATTCAGTCTAAATTAAACATTACTAATATCTCTAAATGAGAAACTCGTCTTATCACAAGGTGACTGCACTGGGACTATTTGGTACTTTATAAAACTCCATTTAAATAACCATTAACAGCCAAAATGACCTGTTTTAAACAGGTTTGATCTCAGCTCAGCTGTACAGATACAACCTTATATTCCACTTTATCGTATATAGTGTAAATATTTTATTGCTTTTTATTCTTTGCACTACATTCCCTGAGCCACATTTGAGTTTGCACACAGGCTCAATGAAGGAACAGCTTATCTTAGGCCAGAGGACTCTGTAGATAAGTGTGTCCACATACTTTAACCACATTACTACAGTTTGTATAAAGAGTTTCTGGTAATTAAAGTGAAGCACAGACCCAGAAGCTGCACTGTTGCTCCGTAATGTTACCTTTGTGTTGACTGCGGCTCCAGGAAAGTTGGTAATCTCTCCCAGAGCGGCTCTCCTCAGACCTGCTGCGGTGCTTTTACCCATCTTCACCTGGTTGTCTGCGGCGGGAAGCAGCTGCAGAGACACGGACACAAAACTCAACGACTCCGGAGAAGCTTCAGAAACGCTGGCTGCCGTAAAGCTGCGTTATAGACAATCTGAATCTAAAGATACAGAAGCGAACAGCAGCGGAACAAGTTCAGTTTACTCACCGCGGCGGGAACTTCCACAGACGACATGTTTAACGGCGGGAACAACGAGGACAAACCGGGACTGAAAGCAACGACACGGAGATTTATTTCAGCAGCAACCGGACAGTTTAACCACCGACAAGATCCGTGAGCACCGACTGCTGCAGGTAAACAACGGGGACACGAGCAGCTTTCAAATAGCGCTGCGTCGATTCTGATTGGATACGGCTGCGGTAGGACGCTCCTGATTGGCTGATCACCAACCAATCACCACAACAGCTGCGGTAGGACGCTCCTGATTGGCTGATCACCAATGAGGTCAAAGGTACGATGACGGACTTTAAAAGTGGAATAAAACACAACCACTTCCGGTACTACTAATAAATATGATTAAATTAATAATGTTATTAATTCAATTAATAACATTATTATACATTAAATACATTTCAGGAGTCTCCACGATGTGTTTGATATTGTTTCCATTGATTAATGTTTGCTGTATAATGTTTACAGTATTTATGGTCACTGCATTAAATAATGAAGAAAAATACACTTTCTCTTTATTTAAATTTAGATCAACAAGTAAAATGTACAATAATACAGTCTAGATGATTTTTTAAAATCGTATATACGCTGTAAAAAATCATTTAATTCATAAAAAAGTTTACATTTGACTGATTAATGATGAAAGTTGCTTCTGTGTCTTCATGTTTCTCAGCATCTGAAACAAGGAAATAAGCCCATCTGTGCTGCACACTGTACCAAAAATGACTGAATTGCTTTTCTTTGTTAAGACTGAAAAAACACACAAAGAAAAAAATCTAAATATTCAAAATAAAAAGTTGTAACCTTAAATTGGGGATTTCTGACCAGAAAGATAGACCAACATAGTAAACTGCCACGTTATAAATAAAGAAACATCTCACATACAAACTGTATTGTCCTTTTCTTATTGTGAGCATGAATCAAAAAGTTATTGACCTCATTTGACCTCCACAAACTTCACAAAATCAGCACAAGTCACTATTATTTTTAGCAGAATAACACACGTGTACAGTAGATCTTCCATGTATCTCTACTGAAAACTGAAAGAGTGATGATCAAATGTAGCTCTATATATACATACATATATCACAAATATGTACAGTACAGGCCTGATGATGGTGTAGCAAACCTGTATTTGTGACAGCTTTCATTTCAATATTTTTTTATTTCTTAATGGCTGAAATGTAAG